CGGCCCGCGGCGCCCCGGCGCCATGGGCGGGGAGGAGGAGATCGTGCGAATCGCCAAGCGCCTCGATAAGATGGTGGCCAAGAAGAGCGCGGTGAGTCCAGGCCGCGTCTCCATGACAACCTGGCCCCCAGGGGTGTCACCCCCCTCCGTCGCGGCATGGGGTGGGGGGTCCGGCCCCCATGGGGTATCTATGGCACCTCCCCTCACTTCATCTCCATGGCAACCCCTGCGCCCCTGGGGTACTCCCTATTGTCTCCATGGCAACCCCCATGGGCTACCCCTAAGCCCTGCCCCACCATGGGGGGTACCCTGCCATCTCCATGGCAACCCCTGGGGGGGCTATCCCTGCCCCCTTAGCTCTGTCCCATTATGGGATACCCTGCTATCTCCATGGCAACCCCTGGGGTTCCCCCCCCATGGACTATCCGCTCCCCCTGAGCCCTGCCCCATAAGGGGTACCCCCAGCGTCTCCATGGCAACCCCTCTGAGCCCAGCCCCACCATGGGGATACCTCTGTCTCCATGGCAACCCCTGGGGTGTCCTCCCTCTGCAGCCTTGTCTCTCCATGGGGTACCCCCCACTGTCTCCATGGCAACCCATCACCCTGGGGTGTCCTCCTTTGTGTCCCCATGGCAACCCCCTGCTCCTCCCTGGGGTACCTCCCTCTCACTGCATCTCCATGGCAACCCCTGCTGGTCACCTGTGGTCCATCCCCTCCCCGTCTTACTGGGGTGTCCGCTCCGGTCCCCCGCTGCCCCCCTGCGGTGACCCCCCGGCCTCCACCTGCCTGGCGAGCCGGCACCGCATCTGCCCCGTGCTGCCCTCCCAAGCCCCACGGAGCAGGGAGTCTCTATCCGGCGGCCACGAAACCCCTTGGGTTGCTGCGGTCACAGGCCTCGCGGTACGTTCGGAGCCTGCCCTGGGGCCTCCGTGCTCTGCGTCGGCTCTTTCCGTCCCATAAGAGCGCTCCTGTCTTCAACGCGTCCCGGGGCCCGGTCTGCCGCTGTCGGCGCGAATGGCAGAGTCCCCTTTTGGGGCCAGGAACCGGGCTGGTGCATGCGACGTGAAGGCTGGGTTTAATTGACCCCCTGTCTCTGAATGCCGGAAGAACGAAAGGGCCGGAGGTTTGCCAAACTGGAAGGCTTCTGCCAGAGGGTTTGCCCTTATATGCGTGCCTTGAAAGCCTCAACTCCGCTTTGATTTAGCTCTCTCAGCCTCTGTCCTGCAGGATCACTGGCAGCTGGAGCTCTTCCCAAGAGGAATCGGAAACTTAGCATGGAGAGGGAGGCAGGCTGCTCCACACCACTGCAGTCACAGCCTAGGTCTTGCGTTGCAAGTCGGTCGGGAGTGATTAGTGTTGTGAATGAGCTGTTAAACATGAACGCTAGAAGGCCTGCCCTCGTGGAAGGGGATGGGAAACGACGGCAATCTGAGCGGAGACTGACACCTTCCAGGCTGTAGCTTTGCATGGAGGATGATGCTGCAGAAGCGAAGCATTGTTAATGTCTCTGTTCCTCCCACGTGTGATGGTTTGTAACAGGGGTTAAAGCGCGTGCGGGCTGATGGAGCTGGTAGCTGCGTGTTCTGGACTCAACAAAGCTGACACGTGACTGCTTTATGTCAGTGGGGCCAACCTTTTTGGCAGGCGTGCCGCGAATGAAGCCCCGCATCCTCCCTGAGTGCCATTCTGATCCCCTTCTCCCACCCGACCTGCTGCTTGGCTTTCTGCTGCCTGTGCTATCCGCTGCTGTGTGGCCTGCCCCCCTCCCCAGTCTGTCTGCTGACTGTGCCACTGGTAGCACTTATGCCACAGATTGGCCACCTCTGTTTTATGTGGTGTTTTCCAAGTGACCTCCCTGACTTCGCTGTTGCTTTGGTGCTGTGCTTGGAGGGCTCTCAAAGGGACAGATTACGGGTAGCAGCTGCTTCAGGCTTTGTGTCCTACAAGCGACATAAGTGCTGCAATGGACAGCAGCTTTATATCCCACATGTGTGGTTGCAAAGTGCTTTGAGAACCTCTGATGCAATAGCTTGGCAAGCATTGCTGAATTATTGCTACAGGAAAAGGTCAGGAGAGAATACTTGCTAAAGGAGCAACCCTTGTAAGTGCATTGTTATGAAGTTATCCTTGCTCAGAAAGTTTTGTTATAAGGGCACAATACAAATGTGTTTGTATGCCAGGCTGGATGTTCTGCATAAAGATGTTTGTCTCTGCTTTGCTTCGTTCTAGTGCCTTCGTTAAGCCCTCTGTATGATAGGGACTGGAATTAGTGGGGGCTAAAATATCAGGCCCAGGGTTAGTTGGTTGACGTACTAAGGAGGGATATTATTTGCTTTGGCTCCAGTGAGGTGATTTTTCAAGGGTTGCATTGATCTGTTTTGTCTTTGGCAATACCAGAAGTGGCTCACTAGTTTTAGTAACCGAGAGATGTCTTTTCTCCTTCGTAGGACGGTGCAATGGATTTACTGAAGGAGCTGAAAAGTATGCCCATGACTCTGGATTTATTGCAGGTAAATCATGCAGCTAGGGAGCAGACAATAAAAATCCAGATTTAGATGGAATAGATGCAGGTTTCTTTTAAGTAAGGTTAAGATAGGGCTCCTCT